GGGGCAGGGGTCAGCAGTCTGGAGTGCGGGCAGGCAACACAAAGCTCAAATCTCCTTCCCTGGCACAGTGTCCGTGTGGGGGCTGGGCTCCCGCCGGCCGCTCAGGCGTCATACTTTTTACCAGTCCGGTGGATGTGCTGGAAGAGGGTCATGGAGAAGGCCATGCCCAGAATCTGAAAGACACGGGGAACAGGCCTTAAACAAAAGCCCCATGGCCGGGGTCTGACACAGGCAACCTAAAGCAAATGGTACACCTGTGTGTTTGACAAATGCTGGTGGAATGAGGACAGTGGTGAACAGAGGAGGACACCCAGGGACCAGCCCAGGGCCACATGGGTGAGCTCAGCCCTCAGAGCCGTCTGTACAGAATGTCGCTGAACCTCTCCAAGGCATGGTGACCTCCCCATCTCAGTGCTGTGGTGAGGCCTGAATGCACAAAGGACCTGACCCTAACGGTAGCTAACAAGGAAATTCAGAGGGGGAAGGAATGCAGCAGGAACATGAAAAACCCGTGCTGAGTCACTTCTGTTTGGTTCTGGAAAACACGATGTGATGTCTTCGGCTGCAGCAGACACGTCTTACCAATGAGGCTTAGGACAAAATTACACGTGTTTGTTGTTCCCTCCACTCCTGAATCCTGAAAGGTGGTGACCCAGAGCGGTGCAGGAGCAGGAAGGAGCCAGCCTGTGGCCTCACAGTCACCACAGATAGTGTGCAATGGGCACAGGCCATCAAGCAGGTGACTGGGGACACTGTGTGCCTCCCATGGCGCTCATACCAAAGGTTTAGGCATAAATGGAGGAGGCCGTGGCTGGTGAGCCCAGTTCCAGGGCTCTGGTCCAAGTCGAGGCCTGCACGAGCAGACCTGAGATGAACCCCACTCTCAGTACTAAACAGAACCTTGCTTCTTGTGAGCGCACCTCACATCACAGCTCCATGAATGACAGCAGGTTCATCTGCTCAGCCTGCAAACGCTTAGATAAATCAGACATGATCTGGCCTCCGGGCCCAAGAGTTTAGGATAAGAAAGATAACTTCATGCAGGATGTTGACCATCTTCCCATGGACTGACCAGTTCAAGTACTCCAAGAGGAATCAGGCACGAAGGCTCCTGCTCACCAGGGATAGGGGCCATACATGGTGGGTACAGGAGGGAGCCTAGGAAATGCTTGTCCCAGAAAGGTTGGGGGTCTCATGTTCCCAGACAGCTGTGTCAGCCTCACCATCAGGATGAGAGGCAGGAACCCCCCCCCCTTCTCTCTCCATCATCTACACTAGGCCTTCCAAAGAACAACTGTCACAAAGAGCCTGGTAATAACAGCAGGGCACTTCCTATGTGCCTAGTGCTGCTCTAGGCCCGACGTTAGGCATATTAATCTCACTTACTGTTAAGAAGTAGCACAATGATTATGCCCATTATACTGATCTGGAAATTCAGGCACAGACGCTAATCAGTATGCCCAGGTCACATATGTCTAAGAGATGGTGAGACCAGGACTGACACCTGTAGGGTCTGGCCCATGAGCCCACACTCACAGTCGTTACTGAGGACTCAGGTTTCATTCAGTTCGGCCACAAGGTAAACACCCCTGTGGAGTGGGGACAGGTGTGTTCACCAGCAAACCCACACACAGGCTGCAGCAATGCCAGCATCAGGCCCAAGGCTCAGGAAATGTAAGGAAGCAGAGCCCTGTGGGGCCTGCAGCAGGACAGGCATCTAGAGACCGCAGAGCAGAGCAGGAAAGCACGTGGACGTCGGGCTGCCTGGGTCAGTGACTTAGCCTTTGGGGGTTTGCTGTTCTCCAGCTGGGATGCAGCAAGGCTCAGACAGCCCTCTTACCTGCATGATAAGGATGCACATCCCCACCGTGCCGAGCACGTGCTTGTTGTCATCAAACCACATCTTCACCTTTTCATAGCAGCCCTAGGGAGCGAGGGCCACAAGGTGAAGGGCCCAGCATGACTATGAGCACCCCCCCTGCCCAGCCACCCCAGCTTTCTCCTTCAGCCCTTGTCTCTGCTCTTTCCTCCTGTTCCCCTCTGACCTTCAGCCTGGTCCTCCTGCCTTTGAGCAGCCCCTGCCCTGCCTAGGACTCTACCTACAAGGCCCCACTGCACAGCCTCAGACCCCCACCCTATGACACTCCCAACTGTGGGTCCAGGCCCCCCATTTCCACCTGCCTTTTGGCTTCAGTCCTGTGTACCCCCCACCACACTCCCCATTAAGCCAATTCCTTGGTGCCCCAGGCCACCCTCCCTCCCCTGTGGGTGTCCTCTTGCAACCACACAGGCTCCTGGGAGGAGGACCCAGGGAAGTGGCCTCAGGCCTCACCGTTCTCCACAGCGGGGTGGTGCTGTTGCGTCCACAGCCCTGGGAGTTCTCCATGCAGCAGCGGTCGGGGACCGTGTTCTCGCCCAGCACCGGGTACCAGTCTGTGTAGTCGGTGACACCACAGCAGCGCATCTGTGGGTGGGATGCACAGGGTCAGACATGCCATGGCCTGCCATCCTCCTCCGGGCCTTCCCCTGTCCAGGCCAACCCAGCCCCACAGAGCTGCCACCCTGGAGTTCAGCAGAGGACACAAAGGCCTTCTTTTGGCCTCAGCTGGGCCCACAGGGGAAGTAAGTGATAGCTCCTTCCTGGAGGCCACAGCGAGAAGACAGAAATGCTGCCTGCCCTTCAGAGCTGGGCACTGGACACGGGGCAGGAGCGCTCAACCATCCACTCCCCACCAGCACCTCTGGCTCTGGGCTTGACAGGCTGTCCCAAGCTGGCACCTGCCCCTCCCAAGCGCTTAACATGGAACATCCAGGCTGTACTGACTGTTTTTCTCTTAGAATCAGAGCCTCCTTACCTGAGCCATGACCAGCGAGGCATAACTATTGCTAAAATAAATTCTGTCACTCATTCCAAAGCTTCAGAAAAGGACTCAGATTATCCAAATTGATTATCCATCCTTCCCAGCTCCCTATGCCCACTTAGCCAGCCACTCACATGGCTCCCTCAGGCCTGTCCACTCCCGTGCCCAGGTCCTGCTCGGCCTCCTTCACTCACCTCCTCATTCCCCTCCAGCTGTATCCCACTAGATGGTGTCTGACTCAACAGCTCTCACTTACAAACCGGAAAGCACAGGTCCCAATTCAGTGACCTGGGTGGAGTGTGAGGCCCAGGCTGCCACGCCTCCTCCCGCCTGCTGGCCCCTGCCACATCCAGTCCACAGCGCTGTCCACCCCTTACCTCGGCCTGGATGATGTTCCAGGCATTCTTCAGCCCCACGTTGTTCTCCGTGTTGTACAGCAGCAGGCCTTCTTTCAAGTCCTTCTTGGCGTTCTCGTTTACCTGTCACATTGAGGCAGACAGACAGGGCAGTTGGGACCAGGATACAACCTGCCCAGGTCATCTAGAACTGCTGGCCACCTCTCTTCCAGATTGGGGGAGGGCCCTGGGGGTGGGGTGCTGGGGCAGGGTAGGTTCACACTCCCAGCTTCAGTCTGCACCCACTGACTCCCACGAGAGCTGAACCCTTTGGGCCACAGCTATTAACACTCAGAGGCAGAGACCAGCCACACACAGGCCACTCTGCTACCCCACCCACATGCTCTCCCATGCTGCCCCTGTCAGAAGACACCCTGGGCACCAGAGAGTGCCAAATCAGTCACTTTGCTCTCAGGTCCACACCTCACTAGCTTACCTCTGCTTTATCTGTAATAAGCTAGAATAGTAATATCTACCTCTGGGGCTGTGAGAATTAGAGGAAACAATTCTTATAAAGAGCCAAGAACAGGACTGGCACAGAGGGATCTCTTAATATTATTTCTTCCCTTTCATAAATGCAAAAGAACTCTTGTTTCTAATCCTAACAATGACCCCACCTTCCAGTGTGGCCTGGGCAAGTACTTCAAGAACCCAAGGAACAGACAGTGGCATAGTTCCTGGGCACAGTGCACCAAAGGGACTGAGCGCTTGGCTAGTCGTTCCTGGGAGCACCAAACTGACTGGGAACTATCTAGTCTGGCAAGGTTGCCAGGGGTCACCCCAACATCCTCCTGAACCCTGCAGTGCAGTCTGGGAGTGGCTGCTCTGCCCTCAGAGGTCTCTAGAAAAGGAAGTGTAGCTACCCTTCACTGTTAGCCCTACTCATGGTGTCACCTGCTAAGTTCCTGCATGTTTCCAATGGGTTATCCTCAAATCACCCAGCCCAACCACTTAGTGAGGTCCAAATCCCTTCTCCCCATGGTCAACACACATATGCTTGAATGCTCCCAGTGATGGGGAGCTCACTATGCAAGGGGCAGTCCACTACACCCCTGGACAATTTAGAGGACTCAACTTCCTAAGACTACACAAGGGAACCAACCATCCCAAATGCGCCCTCTCCATGCTGCCCCAGCAAAACCTTTCATCTGGGCCTTCCCTAGTTCTCCTGGTTCCACCTGCCTTTCCTCGCAGGTACTACCTGTCAGCGCGTTTCCTCTGGCTTGCCCCAGTTTGACCCAAACCCAAGGACAATGAAATTCCATAAGCCCCCCCCTTCCTGAAGGCTCACCTTGTCCATGTAGACAAAGAAGAGGATAAGTAAGATCAGCTCTGCTAGGAGGATGATCAACAGGACGATGAAAAACTGGAAAGAGAAGGTGCAGGCGTGAGCACGAGGTGACGGTGGGGGCCGGAGAGGGGCACAAACAGGAACAATGGCAGGGAGGCAGGGGCAGGCAGCACTTAGCCAGGGCTTCCCAGGTATGGAGAGGTAACCTACTTCTGAGGAAACCCAGATAGGTAGGGGAGGGCCATTAGGTAGACGCCAATCAAGGAGTGGGAAGGACAACTAGGGCAGGGATAGCCAATCATGAGGAAGAGGGGTGTGGTTGGGCAAAGGACATTCTGGAAGCAATTGCCCTGGGCTCATGTTCCCAGGCCTTGCCTGTTGCCGTGGCCCAAATGCAGGCTGAACCAGGGTTCAGAGGGGTTGGGGTGTGGAGTCCAACTTACACTGAGGAGGAGGCACTTGTTTTCCTTGATGGCCCCCAGGCAGCCCAGGAAGCCCGTCACCATGACAATGGTTCCGATGGCGATGACTAGGTTGGCTGCAGACAGCGAAGGAAAGCTGGGGGAGAAGGTGGCAAAGTTGCCTTGGGACACGGAGAGCCAAATGCCCACTCCAAGCAGCCCACAGCCACAGAGCTGGAGAGAAAGCAAAACCTGTTAGACTGGCACTGCTCTTGCATTCACCACCAGGGGACTTGAAAGATTCTGTTTCCCCACCCCTAACTCTGAGACACAGAAAGGGTGAGAACTGGGCTACTGGTCAGACATAGTCACAGCCTCAAATCATGTTGGTTGTGTGACCCAGACAAATCCATTCAGCCTCTCTGTGTCTCAATCTCCCCATCTGGCAAATGGGGTTATACTGGCTTCACCAGCCCTTAGGGTCACTCTGAGGATCAAATTAAATGAGACACAGGCAAAAGCATGTGGCAAATATTGCAGGTCCTAGATGCATATAAGTGGCTGCAGTTATTCCACCTGGCAGGGGGAGTCTCTAGCATTCAGGAAAGAGTCTGGGGAAGCCATAAGGACTTGTCTTGGGGCCAGGAAGAGAATCTCAATGCCCAGTTTCTCAGAGCCAGACCTTCCAGTGACTGCACCCTGTTGCCCTGACCAGAAGGGTCATTTGCCCACTGTTCTCAGGAGCCTGAAGAACAAATTTCCCACAGATGAAAAAAGAAAAGGACTCGCTGGGCTGGTTGAGAGGCTGACTGAGGGGCTGGCCAATGTGTAGGGCGTAGCAGCCCATCACTGCCTTCACCATCCATCTGTGAGCCAGCAACCAGCACTATGGGCCTGAAAACTGAATGTTCAACAGCACCCCTGGGGCCGCTGCCGCCACTTGCTTCACCTGGGGAAGTTTCGGTTTCATTGGCTGCAAATCTCCATGTCTGCCTTATTTTATGCTTGATATAGCTGACAGCCCCCTCCCTCCCGTAGCCCAGGGGAAGTGTGCTGAGTCTGAGAAGCCAATCAATCAGTCACCCAATATTTATTGAGTACCTACAGCATGCAGCATCCTGTGCCAGAAGAGCAACAACTGCTTTAGAGACCTCCTTCCCCAGGCCTCCACTCGGGTGGATGGGAGCAATAAAAAAACAGCATCTAACCCTGGCAGTATACACTGGTGCCAAATAAATGGTACAGGAGCTCAGAGGAGGCAGTCACTGTCCTGGTCCAAGATGCCAGTTGGTGGAAACAGTCCCTCAAGGATGGGGGGACTTGGGGCAGGTGATGGGCAAGAATGTTCGACATAAGGGCTGGGGAGGCCAGACATGGATGGTACCCGGCTCCAGCTGGCCCTGGTTGTGCCACCTTGCAAACTCCTTTTATTCTGAATCAGAATAATAACACCTACTTCCTGGATTGCTGTGGGAACTTACATGAAAGCAAGCATGGGAAATGGGTAGCAAGTAGCAATTCCTGTGTGCTGGAAGCTATGCTGTTACCCCTGGGAACCAAGCTCAGGGAGGAGACACTGATGTATCAGGGAAGACAAGCACCCCACAAACCCAAACTGAGCCTCTACTTAGTAAGTGCCAGCCCCCTTCCAAGTGCTAGAGGACTGGTAAAAGGTGCCTATAAAGGCCTGGCCCTCGTGAAGAGGGAGCTCCTACATAGGACACAGCTGTTACACAAGCAAACATCTCATGGAGTTTCAGGTGCTGATATGTGTGTGAAGAAAATTCAGGATGGGTACAGAGTTAGAAAGTAACTGGGGACACAGTGGTCAGGGAAGGCCTCAAGAAAAGGTGTCATTTGTGTAGGGACCCAAATAAAGAGGGGAAGTGAGCCACGTAAATATTTGGGGGAAGAGTGTTCTCACAGAGGGAACAGCAGTGCAAAAGCCCCAAGGGGAGAATGAGCCTGGGCAGCCACAGAGCAGCAAGGTGCTCAAGTGGCTACAAAAGAGTGAAGGACAAGTGGTAGGGGCCAGTAGGCAGGGTGGCAGGGGACAGATGAGACAGGACCTTGCAGGCATCAGGAGAGAAAATGTGGGTGCTGTTCGTAGTGGGGCAGGAAGCCTCCGGATCTGGAGAGTGACATGATTTATGTTTCCAATAGATTGTTCTGGCTGCTGTTGGGAGAACAGGCCATTGGAGGGCCAAGGAGCAGAGACAGCAATCAGGAGGCACTGTGGTGGTCCGGCTGGTGGTGACCTACACCAGGTGCTTACAGAGGACTGGACAGAAATGGTCCACTTTGAGACATATTTGGGAGGCAGTATTGACAGGGGCTTGCTGGGCTTTAAACAATGAGTAGGATTTTGATAAATGGGGAAACAAAGGTGGTGCAGACTGAGCATGACAGAGAAGTTGGGAAATTCCCAAGTATTACTAAACCAGAGACTGTTCGAAGAGTACAGGGGGATGGGAGTTGGGTAAGTGGAGCAGCTGCCTGGCTCTCCCACAATGTGGAGAGGGGTCCTGCACCTCCTATAACCTTCAGCAGCCCCAGGTGGAACTAGGGCAAGGCTCCCAAAGTGTGGGCACACACAGGCCCAGAGCACCCACCCAATGGGGGCATCTCTCAGCTTTGCCAGGGGAATAACCCCTGCAACCACTAGGTGGCGCTCCAGGCCGGGTCAGAAGCTCTGGGTTTGCCAGTTAAGGCGCTGAAACTTTCATCCAACTTGTCACTGACTTTCTTCAATCTGGTAAGTATCTATGCTGCTGTCTCAATTTTTCTTTCATTAATCATACCATGGAAATTCATGATCTTCATGCTGAAGATTTATGGCTCTAAAAGCCAGACTCTGGAATGAATGAGAGGAAAACCCGTTGCTGCCGGGTCACTTGCTGCAGGGAGAGGATCCTACTAAAGAGAGCTGACCTTGGACTCCTGGACCTGTAGGATACCCCTACCACCCTGCAGCTGGAGACATCAGGCCTCCAGGACCCACCCCAGAGAATACAGCTTTCCCCCAAAGCCAGTTCTCACTGCGGGTGGCCTTGGTGGGGTCCCTTCTGTGCCTCCATTCTCCATTTCCCTCCTGGTGGTGGGAACTGATGTGAGTTCAAGGAGTCTCCACCCAGGAAAAGCTCAACAATTCAGAAGTTCCAGGAGCTGGTCATTTCTCAGCACTGCTTCTCTGACCCCACACTGCATGCTCTTCGGTCTGCAAGCTTCCCAAGACCCACCGGCAGGCTCCTTTCTCCACCCTGAGAGAAGGGAACTGTGGTCCTCCCCCCCACCCCCATCTGCTTCCCTCCTTACTGTCTGTCTGAGGTCCCACCATGCCCCAGGCTAGATCCCAGGTGAGATCTGCTGCCTACAGGTGTCAACCCAACCAGCAGCCTGTACCTAAGTCCAGGGGTGGGGAAAGGCATGCTATATAACACCTGCTGAATGAGTGAGACCCCAGTCACTCTCCCATATTTCCTCAGGGGTCTCTGCTGAGATGGACCCTGTGTCGCCATCTTGGAGGACCCAGAACCAGCAGAGCCTCCAGGCAGGAAGAATACAAACATCAGGCCCTAAGTTTACAAATAAGGACACTGAGAGCGAACAGGCAATTGCCACCCTGCCAGGGTAGGCCTAGAACCTGGTTTCCTGGCGTCTGCTGCAGAGCCTTCCACACTGCCACTCCTAGGAGGCTGTGAGTGCATGCTGAGCCCCGGCCAACAGGTGGAAAGCACCCTAAACCCCACCTTAGGCCCTGTCTCATGCCCAGATCCCAGAATACTCCCCTCCCTGCCTCTGGCCTCTGTTTTTCAGCCCAGCCTACATTGAGCTGCCTGAATCCTTTTTCTAAAATGCCTGTTTCATGGATGCTCCCCCTCTGGGGAGCACTCCTGCACCTTTCCCTCCCCCTCTTCTCCTCTGGTGCATTACCTTTCCCTTTCCCTCTCCTAAGCTCCAAGGGCCCTTCTTTTGCTTCTGTAACTTGTTTCCTGAGCCTATACAGTCCAGCTGGCTCACTTCTACTACCTTGGAAACTTTCTCTTATAATTTGAAAAAAATTAAAATAAGCAAAGTAAAATGACTCTTTCATCATGCTGTTCACCATGTGACCTTACAACTCTTTAGCTCTCTGAGGCCCAATTTCCTTTAAAATGTGGGATTTGGACTAGAGAATTCCTCTGGTCCCTTCCAGCACAGGTTTAGTCAAGATTGGACAAATGCTCTCATCTCCTAGCCCAGTGGCTCTCAATCAGGAGCAATTTCACTGCTGGAACATCTGGCAATGTCTAGGACAGTTTTGGTTGACACAACTTGGGGAGAGGACTGCTACTGGCATCCTAGTGAGTAGAGGTCAGGGGTGCTGCTAAACATCCAACAATGTATAGGACTGTCCTACACACACACACACACACACACACACACACACACACACACACACACACAAAAGAACTATCCAGTTCCAAATGTCAGTTGAGGAGAAACTGCCCCAGCCCATCCCATGCCAGGTGTCCATTCTCTGGCTCTCAAAGCCCCGAGAAGACACCATCAAAGAAAGAACCTGGTGGGGCAGGTTCCCTCCAAGGGTGAGGCAGTGTTCTGGCTCTGAGAGGGTCCATACAACATGAGAGGAGAAAATGTTGAGAAGACTCCACTGGGGAGCTGGCAAGGGCTAGGACCAAGTAAGAGGCCAATGTCTGTTGTGTGGCAATGGGCAGGAGGGAGGAGTTGACAGCAGAAAAGGTTTGCTGGGCAGGAGAGCAAGAAGACAGGAAGCCAACATTCAAAGGCAGAGCAGCGGGCTAGGAGACGGTGAGGAAGGGATGGGAGAGGGGAAGAACAGGGAGGGGAGCTGCCTCATATGGAGGGTGTCAAACACAGGAAGGAGGCAAGGTCTGCAGTGGCACAGCCAAAGAGTCCATGCCAGAGAGCTTAGCTGGTGGCATTCGGGAAAATTCCCTTCCAAAACCAGAGGGTTGTCTCAGCTGAGATGACCGAGCTATAGTCAGCCCAAGGCAGGAAGAGACTGGGGCGAGGCAGGGTGACTCAGGGGGCCGGGATCCAGCCCACACTAGCATCAACTGACCCAAGGTCAACAGCCAGGCCTAGTCAGCACCCCTCTCCAAGCAGGAACTGGCTCAGGGATCACCCTGACAAGTCTCCCCTGCCCCTGCCCCTGCCCCCCAATAACCAAGGACATTTCTAAATACTTTCAATTCAGGCTCCAAATAAAT